GACCCGGGTTCAGACCCAGACTGTGCCTCTGATGTGTGAACTTGAGCAAGTCCTTTTCTCTCTGGGTGAGGCTGGGTTGCTTTAAGAAACAAGGACAGGGAATGAAAAATCGGGTATCTTTAAAGTCCCCTAATTCTATAATAAGAGCAAAGAGAATTATCCCAACAGTCTAGGATTCTGTGATGTGGCTTCTCTGTTCTTTCCAGCTTGGGAACATCATGAGGGCAAAGATGATCGTATTTATTCCAGAATTCACAGAGCCAGGTGTAGGGCCCGTCACAGCAGAGGAGCTCAGTAAATATACACACGTTTGTTCAACAAATACCTACTGAACACAAGTGGGGACTATCCCTGAGCTGCATACTGGGGCTAAAGCACTGGGTAAATTCAATGAGGTGCCTGCCTTTTTAGGACATACTGAATAGTGGGCCAGAAAGCAAACAAGTAAATAAACACCTAAGTGCGATGACTTCAACCACGGGCAGTAATACAAATACAATAACATCAGGTGACAGGATGCCTCAGGTAGGAGCCCTCTCTGTGGTGGTCACACATGCAGGCTGAACCTTTCGCAGATATGGAAGAACATCCCAGGCAGGGGAGGAGCAAATGCAAAGGCCTGGCAAGTCCAGAAACATAAAAGGAAGCACGTTAGTTGGGGGGAGGATGGTGGGAGGGAGGATGGAGAGGCCAGCAGGAGCGGATTATGTGGGGCGTTGTAGGCTGGGGGAGGATTTTAGATGTTATTATAAACTTGATGGGAAGCATTTGGAGGATAGTAATCCCTGATGTAGCGTGATCTGGTTTATGTTTTTAAAAGATCCCTTTAGCTGCTTGTGGAGAACAGATTATGGGGGCGAGAAAGGAGGTTGGGAGGCCAGTGAGGAGGAGAGGGGGTGGTGGCAGGACCAGGCAGAGATGCATGGTGAGATTTGGGGTCCATTTGGATGGCAGCTGACCAGACCTGCTGATCTGTTGCCGCAAAACCAGCCTCACCACTAGAAACCAGCACCATGGACAGCGCCATTTCCCGCGGGGGGGGGCCCCCCATCATTCCAGAAAGTCAGTTCTTTGAGCCTCCTCCCATTTCTGAGATACTGAACTTCCCGGGGCAGCCCACAGAACCCCTCCCTTGTGGTTTTCTTTTTTCTTTACTTTTAATAATTAACAAACTTTTACTTTTTAGAGCGGTTTTAGATTCACAGCAAAATTGAGCAGGGAGTACAGAGAATTCTCATATACTCCCTGTCTCCCTTGTGGTTTTTTAATATTTTTATTTTTAATTATAGAACATTTTGACATACAGGAAAATCAGGAAGTCATGTAACAACCACACATATGCTTACCATCAGGATTAAACAGATATTAACATTTTGCCATATTTGCTTCAGTGTCCTCTCTTTTTAAAAAAGAAAATCAATGAAACATGATACGGTTGTGTTGAACCTGGCATTTATCTGTCCCCTGCATGTTTTTGTACTGTTATTACCTAGTTCTGCATTCAAAACCTGTATATTCTATCATTACATATATTTTAGAAGTTTCTATAAATGGCATAACACTATACATATTCCTTTGCCGTTTATTTTTTCACTCCATGTTATGTTTTGGAGACTTATTCATACTGATACATAATAATGTAGTTTATTCACTTTAACTGTGGTAGATTATTTTATTGCACTTATAAAGCAATTTATCTTTCTGTTTTCCTGCTGAGAGGCAGTTAGGCTCTTCTTTTTCTATTACATGCTAAGGCGCAATGAATATCCTTGGACATGTGTTCTTTTGCACGAGTGGGAGTTTCCCCAGGATGCTATAGAAAACACTGTGTCGCATCCAAGTGACTTTGACCTGCGGGCATGCCCACCCTCCTGCTGTGAATGCTGAAGGCTCATAGCTACTCCCTTCTTTAGAACTTTCTCGCCCACAAATGTATACCACCCCTGTACCGCCCCATGGGGTAGCCATAGCCAATGACTGGCTGGCGTGGGGCTGCAAAAATATTGGTTCCCTGCCTCAAGGTGGGTCAACTCTGTGAAGTCACTAATACCTCAGAGGTCCCATCGGATCGGATGGAAGCTAATCTCCAACTGAGAACATGTCATTGCTTAGCATTCCCTGCTGCCCAATCTTCCAACCTCTCTCCCTTTGACCTGAGAGCTCTTGTTCAATAAATCACCTGCAGAGAAGTTCCTGTCTCAGGCCCCACTCAGGGAACTGAGCCTAGGACAGGCACACATTAGCGGTGGAGTTGGCTGAGTCATAGATTCATTCATCTTAAAGTTTACAAAGCATTTCCAAATTGCTCTCCAAAGTAGCTGTGCAAATTCACATTCCCATTAGCAGCTTATAAACATTGGTATTTCCCCCACACCACCATCAATACTGGGGTTCTACACTGATCTTGCCAATCAGATTGGCGTAATATTCTATCTCGTATTGTTTTAATTCACATTTCCATGTTTACTGGTGATGTTAACACTTTTTTTTATATCTTATTGGCCTTTCAGATTTTTTCCTCTGTTGTTTGTTCACATCTTTTGCCCACTTTCCTATTGCTTTTGAATGTTTGGGTAAATGAATTCTTTGTAGTTTTTTAAAAAAATTCTTTTGTAGAGGAATTCTCTCTTGGTTACACAGTTTGCAAATATATATGCTCCCAGCCTGTGGCTTTAACAAATCTATTCATATTTTGTCATATGGACGTTCTTGATTTTAATAAAATAAGATTTATCATTATTTCCCTTTATCATTTATGCTTTTTGTGTCTTATTTTCTACTCTGAGATCATAAAACTATTTTCCTCTGTTTTCTTTTAAAAACTTTATTGTTCGCCTTCACATTTACGACTTTAATCAACCTGGGACTCATTTTGTGCATGATTTGAGCAGGGATCCAGTTTTACCTTTTTCCATAGGGGCACTCAATTGCCCAACGTCATCTGTTAACTAGACAATCTTTACTCTGTGTCAGGTTTCATACTATCACATGTTTGGATCTGTTCCTAGGCAGTATTGTCTCTTCTTTTCATCTGTTAGTCTATTCCTGGGATCAAATCAAGCTATGTTAAAATAATTATTAGAACTTCATACAATTATTGATATCTGGTAGGATGACATGCCCTGTTTCTTCCTAGTCTCTTTCTCAAAATTGCCTTGGCTGTTCTGGGGTCTTTATTATTCCATGTACGTTTTGAGATGACCTTGTCAAGTTTCAGGGAAAACCCTATTGCAGTTTTTATTGGAAAATTGTAGATTAAATTGGAGGTGAATAGCCAACTTGGTGATGGTGAGGTGTTTTTGTTTGTTTATTTTTTGAGACAGGGTCTCACTCTGTTGCCCAGGTTAGAGTGCAGTGGAGCCATCGTAGCTCACTGTGACTCCTCAAACTCTGGGGCTCAAGTGATTCTCCTGCCTCAGCCTCCTGAGTAGGCGGGACTACAGGTGCACACCGTCACACTGGCTAATTTCTAATTTTTTTTTTTTTTTTTTAGGGATGGGGTCTTACAATGTTGTCCAGGCTGGTCTTGAACTCCTCACCTCAAGCAATCCTCCCACTTTGGTCTCCCAAAGTGCTGGGATTACAGATGTGAGCCACCATGCCCGGCCTGTGATGGTGAGGTTTGAACATGGTTTGTTTCTCCTCTGGCTGTATTCTTTCTCTCCTCTGCATTCCATGCCTTGCACAGGGGGCTGCCTAGGGAATGAACCTCCAAATCCCTCAATGCCCAGCTGAAATGCTTCCTCCTCCAGGAAGTCCTCTGTGAGAGCTTTGGCTCCACAGGCTCTCTGACCTCCCCTCACTCTTCTGTGTGCCCCATTTCCTGGTCACTGAGCACACTGGGTCTGGTTGAGGAAGCCTAGTCTCTGAGCTCTTGGAGAGAAGGGCTGCCTCTCATTCATCTTCATGTCCCCAGTGGCACCCAGCACACAGTAGGTGTTCAATAGGATCTGACGATTTGTCCATAGGGAAGAGGAACATGTATAATAGTAATAGGTTCTTCCTCGTAGGAAACAACGGATTCATGGGGAGAGGGCTTGGAGATGAGTTTGGAGATTCACAGGAAACGCAGTCAGACAGGCTGAACTTACATGGTAGCTCTGCCATGTGGGACACTAGCCTTTCAGAGCTGCTTTAGCCCATCTGTAACATGACATTCCTAATTTCATAGGGCTGCTGTGATTATTAGTGAGATAACGTGGGAGATGGAGTCAAGGTGTGTTTGTTCCCTGTTCCCACTTTCCTAATTTGAGGGAAGTGCAGGAATGAAGCCTCTTCTCCCAGCTGGGGACCATGCACTTCCTCGTCTCTGAGACTCCAGGGGCGTCTCCCCCAGGTGTCTGAGCCACTGGCTCAAATTGACACAGCTGGCTTCTGCCCTGCTTTGGTCTTCTGTCCACATCCAGCCTGAAGCCCCCACCCTGGCTCCGGCCACTGTGCCCTCTTCCTCAGCGCACAGTGGGTCTTCAGCTCCCTGATGTGACCATGGAGGATGCTCGAACCCTGTCTTCCCTGCCCTGCCCCATGGTTCCCATGTCTCCCAGTGGACCCCTGGGTCCTGAGAACCTTGTTCCCATGAGATGTTCCTTCCTCGTGTGCTCCTCTTCTTCCAGGCGGTGTCTTTCTTCCCCAAGAGCACGCTAGGCAGAGGTGGTGCCCAGCTGCAAGGGACTGGCTCCAGGGTTAAGCACTGTCCGCCCCTCTTGGAAGAAAGGATCTGGGGCCTGCAGGTGCCTCCTAGCAGAGCACGGGCTTTGGAGTCAGGTAGACCTGTGTTCTGGCTCATCCCCCACCCATCCTTGACTTTCTGCAAGTTGACCTCTAGGAGACTTAGCTTCCCCATATGTAAAATGGGTGCACGAATCCCACCCCTGGGGACAAATGAGAAAAACAGAGGTAAAAACAATGGAATGCATACAGTAGGTGCTCAGCACAGAGTTGCTCCTTCCCCACCAGATGTCAAGGTTGTAGAGATGAGAAAAAAAATGGGGAACACAGGCAAAGATGAGGCAGAATTTATTCTCATTGTGGGTAAGTCCAAGACTCAGGGTGGAGACCACAGAGAGGCAGGCCCTGGGGACCCCGAGAGGGACCCCACACTGGGGGCAGGGGCCACACTTTTGCAAGTGCCAGGCCCACCGTGCCCCGCAACAGTGAGGATCCAGAGCCCAGAGACCGGGTGAGCATGGGTGGGGAGGAAGACAGGGTCGCCCCCGTCGTGTCCTGCCCAAGTTTCCGACTTCCATAGGAAGGAAGAGCAGCTCGGCCACAGAGAAACATAATATTCAGAGGTGGAGAGAGCTGGCCGCGGCACCTGGGCGGGGCTGACGCCCCGAATTATTGCAGGAGGGAGGGGCTCAGTGCTGGTGTGTCCGCGGGTCGCTGTGCTGGCTGTGGGGCTGGGGCTGGGGGCTGAGCTGGCCCCTTCCTCTGGGGCTGGCAGGTGGCACCCGATGGGGGTGCCTTGAACCACCTGCCAAACTGCCCCTGGGATGGGGCTTTCTCACCCTGGGTGCTTTTTATGTGCTTTGAAGACCATTTTTGCATTGTCAGGAGTGAGGAAAAAATATTCTGACATGGTAGAAAAAAGATATTTACATACCCTGGTGGGCCGTAAGGGGGAGGGTCCGTCTGTGAGGGGGAGGGGCTTCCCAGGCGCCCTGTCCCCGCGGTGGTCCGGGTGGGGTGGTGTGTGGGGAGAAGAGCCCTGGGCTGGGAGGCAGGAGGCCCCAACTCTCACCCTTGGTTGCCATGTGACCTGGACAAGGCACGCCCCCTCCAGGCCTCAGTCTCCCCAATGGTACAGGAAGGGATGGACGCGGGCTGAGAAGCTGGGACCTCATGGTGTGTGATCCCAGGCATGGCCGGGGGTGGCGCAGGGCTGGGCAGGGAAAGGTTGGCAAAGGGACTTCCAAGTGAGGAGGCCTGGGCCGTCGGGGGAAGGCAGCAGAGACGAGAGGGTCCCGCAGAGGGCGTCCGTGTGCTCTGCCGTGACGCCTACACGGAAGGTGGCCAGTGGGACTGGCCGGAAACCCTGTTTTCCTGTTGAAGCAGCGGTGGGGGCCGGGCGGAGGCTGCAGGTGGCCCCCGGCTCGAGGGAGGACCCAGACCTGAGATACAGCCAGGGTGGGCTCACCCAGGCAGAGACGAGGTGGGCCTGGTGCTGGTGCGGTTCGGAAGTGGCCCCGGCTCCAGCCTCCAGGTGTGGGGGTGGCAGGCGTGACCCTCTCCCAGGCTCCGTTGGTGTTGGGACCTGGGTGGCATCACGCTGAGTTCCCTGCTCACATGCTATGACATGTCATCCATGGTCACTCATATGTGCCCCAGCCGTAATGGATAAGCACACGTGTCATAACATGCACATACCCATTCTGGGACCGGACTGTGTGGACACACAGGCGTGATCACCTGTCGTTCACATGGGCTCCCAGGACCTCACGAGAACACACTCCCCACAGCACGCATGCACACACACACGTGCGCGTGCACACATGTGCACAGAAGCAGGTGAACGAAGTCTCTGTTGACTCAGTGGTGTGGAGCACAGGTGTCCAGCCACGCTGGGCACCAAAGTCCCCTTCCTGCAGGCTGACCCCCGATGACTCCGGGTCCCTGGCGGAGCCTTCAGCCCCGAGCGCCTGCAAGGAGGGCGGCCCGGGACGAGGGGCAGAGGCCTGGGGCTTCCCCGGCCACCGCCAGCCCTGCAAGTCCTCTGACAGCGGCGTGACCTGGGGCTGGCTCGGTTGCTGCTCAGGCCCTGCCCCAGATCAGAGGTGCCGGTGGGGCCCCTGGGTGCTGGTCAGCTGGGCCCGCATGGTCTGGATGCTGCCCAGGATCTTCTTCTGGTGGCCCATGAGGGTGATGCCCAGCGCACGCACGTCCCTGTGGAGGAAGGTGGCGCTGGCCAGGCGGCCCGCGAGGCCGGGCCACGCCCTCCCCTGGAGCTGCCTCTGGCTCGTGCCCCGCCCCAGGGCCCCGCTGCCCGCACTCACTGGGCGTTCATGCGCAGCACCATGCCCAGGGAGGAGTAGCCGCCGGCAGCGAAGTGGTCTCGGTAGCGGCCCATGCGGATGGAGTCCAGCCAGTCCCCCACAGTGAGGCCCCCGCCGCTGCCCCCGCCCCCTCGGAGGTCAAAGCAGCTGCGGGCGAAGGCAGGGGCTGGGCACCTGCAGCACAGGGGCTCTGGTGAGCGGCCGTCCTTGGGGTCGCCGGCACTAGCCATCCTCAGCCTCCGCCCAGGCAGCCAGACGGGGCAGTGGGCAGAGCAGGGGTCCGAGGGACAGAGCCCGGAAGGAGCGGGTGAGGAAGGGGCGAGGCGGGGTCTGGTCCAGGGGTCGGGGCAGGGCCGTCCCAGGGCCTGGATTAAGTTGGGGCGTGTCTGGGGCAGGGCGGAGTCTGGGGCGACGCTGGGAGCAGCCTGGCCGCAGTGGAGCCGGGGCGGGCGCGAGGCACCTGCTGACAGTGGCCGTGGCCCTGAGACTCTCGGGGCTGCGGACCAGCGCGTCGAGGACGCTGACGATCTGGGAGAAGCGGGGCCGCTGGGCCCGGTCCTTGTGCCAGCAGTCGAGCATGAGCTGGTGCAGGGCGCGGGGGCAGCCCATGGGCGCAGGCAGGCGGTAGCCCTCCTCCACGGAGCTGATGACCTGCGGAGGCACAGCGCTGGCCCGGCCGCCCCTCCCCGCGGGCCCCACCGCGACACCCCAGCCCCCACTCACGTCGCGGTTGGTCATGTTCCAGTAGGGCCGCTCCCCGTAGGCCAGCACCTCCCACATGACCACGCCGAAGCTCCACACGTCGCTGGCCGAGGAGAAGGTGCGGAAGGCAATGGCCTCGGGGGCCGTCCAGCGGATGGGGATCTTCCCTCCCTGAGACGGCCACGGAAGTGCTGAGGGCTGCCCGGACCTGGCAGGCCTCGGCCCGGGCTCCTCCCCAGCCCGAGTCAGGCAGTGGCTTGGGGCCCGTTTCCCCTTCCGAGAGCCCCTGTCCCGGTGGGGACACCTGCCCCACAGAGCTGCCGCGGAGGCGGATCGGAGGGAAGGGGGACGGGTGCCTGGCGCACCGTGGCTGCTCGGCACGTGGCCGTCAACAGGCCGATACCCGTGCAGGGCGGCAGCTCAGGGAACGTGGCCTGGTAGCTTCCTGACTCTTCCTCTCCCTCCTCTTGTTTTTCTTTTCCGTCTCAAAATTCTCCCTTGTGTAAAACTGTCCTCAAAGGTTCAGTGGGAGAGACCCGGAGGGAGGCTGTGACTGCCAGCGTGGGGCAGAGCCCGTCGGGCAGCCCCTAAGGGAGCCCTAGAGAAGCCCTGATCTCCATGGAACACGTTTGAAAACGGCCAGTTTGGAGCCAAACTTTAGCGACAGATGCGGAGTCTGTGTGATTGAGAGATTCCAACCCGCCCAACGTCCCCCAGGGAGTGAATGGCAGTGGGGGCCCTCCCCGGGGCTCCCCCAGGGAGGATCCACTGGGATCGAGAACGGCAGGCGAGGCTGTTACCCCTCTTTTCCCAGGGAAGGGACTGGGTGGGGAGAGGAGACTGGGCGCCAGGTTGGGGGCACCCGACACTGCCAACTTCGCCCAACCCCCTGGGGACGAGACCTCGGCCCTGGGTCTCGGGGCCCCCGGGGGCCTCCTCACCCCGCCCCGGCCGGCGGGCAGGGGTGTGGCCACGCACCGTGGTGGTGTAGGCGGCATCGGGGTCGTCCTCCAGCACCCGCGACAGCCCGAAGTCGGACACCTTGCAGACCAGGTTGCCGTCCACCAGGACGTTGCGTGCGGCCAGGTCGCGGTGGATGTAGCCCAGGTCTGAGAGGTAGCGCATGCCGGCGCCCACGCCCCTGAGCATGCCCACCAGCTGCATGATGGTGAACTGCCCGTCGTGGGTCTGCAGAGGGAGGGACGGGCTTGGGCTTCAGGGCGCCCAGCGAGGCGCCTGGGCCGAGGACGGGACCCTTCCCAGCCGCACTCGCGGCGCTGGAGAGCTGAGCTGGCCTCGGCAGCTTGCAAAGTGCTCCCCCTGCCATGAAGCACCTGGCAGTCTAAGGTGGATTCTCTTGGCCCCGTTTACACTCACAGCAACCTGGGAGGCAGGCGGGGCAGCAGCGATCCTTACCCCGGTGGTGGAAGGAGAGATGGAGGCCCAGGAGGTTGGGCGGGGTGCCCGAGAGCGCCCAGCACAGACAGGAGCTGGGGACCCAGCCGTTCCCGCCACCCCCTCGTGCCCCCGGCAGGGCGGGGCCTGGCCCCTCGGAGCCCCCCTTGGCCTGCGTGCAGGGCAGCAGGACCCCGCAGAGCAGAGGCTGCGAGGCAGTCAGACTGGCTGTCCTGAAGACCCCCTCCCTAGACCTGCGGCCCCTTCCCCAGGCCTGCTGGGTGCAAGCTGGGCAGGGGTTGGGGGCTTCGGGCCGAGTCCCAGCACCCAGACTGAACTTCCCTCCCGCAGCCCAGGGCACGGCCGGGCAGACACGCACCCTCAGGAAGGCGTCCAGAGAGCCGTTCTCCATGTACTCGGTCACGATCATGGCCAGGCGGCCTGGGGAAGGGCGGGGGAGAGGGGCGCTTGGTGGGGGTCGGGGCTACTGATCAGACCCCCCAGGAGCAAGCCCCCACCCCAGGATCTGGGCCAGCACTGAGGATCCCCGGGTGCCTAGGGTTCCTTCCTGCTGGATCCCTGGCCCTGGGCACCCCCAGAGTCACCCGGGCACCTGAGCCCAGGGGACGGGGCCAGGGCAGAGCAGAGTGAACCAGGGGATGGACCTGGAGCCCCGTCCGGGCAGGAGGGCCTGCAGGGTAAGGCTGTCTTTGCCTGGCACCTACCTCGGGTGACAACACCCTCGAGGCGGATGATGTTAGGGTGGTCGAACTGCCCCATGATGGACGCCTCACTCAGGAAGTCCCGCCGCTGCCTCTCCGTGTAGCCAGCCTTGAGGGCCTTGATGGCCACGGGCACGTCCCGCTGCCCCGGCACCTGCAGCCGCCCGTAGCAGACCTCCCCGGACTCTCCTGCAGACCCCAGAGCGGGGGGCGGGGGAGGGCAGTGGGACCCTCCTCCCCCGCCAGACCCCCACCCGGGGCCGGCCAGGGCCTCCGTCTCCCCTTCCTCCCCCGGTGCCCTCCTGCCCCTGTGCGGACCCCCCTCGCCCCCCGGGGCTCACCAGAGCCGATGATTTTCTCGATGTGGATCCTGGAGGCCTCGATCTCTCGGGTGAAACCGCGGCCCGCCCGGCCCGGCTCCTCGTAGTTGTGGGGTTCTGCGTAGAACTGGGGCTCTGGCAGCTTCCCCGGGGGGTGGTGCAGGGGCAGGAAGACAGGGGGTGCTAGGGCCAAGGGGGGTCCTTCAGTGGGGTCCGGGAGGAACATCTCTCTCCCGGCATTCCCTGGACCTGGGGTGGGTCTGGGGGAGGGGGAGGGGTGTCTCCGGGAATCTCTGGATGTGGGGGCAAACAGTAGGGGCCCCATCGGTGTGTGCCCAGTGAAAGTGGGGTCTCTGTGGAGTAGCTCTGGGGTCTCTATCGGGCTGTGGAGTCTCCAGTGAGTTCTGAGCATGTCTGTCATTTTCTGGGGTCACCTCTAGAGTCCCTGAGGTCTTTCTACATTGTTCTGGGGTGGGGATGGGGCAAAAAAAAGAATTTTCACCACAAGTGTCCCCTTGGACTGACTGAACACAGTTCCCTGGAAGACTGTGTTAAGAAGGATTCTGAGGCTGCGCTCAGGCCCAGTGGGAATGAGCGCCAGGACTGACGCTGACGTCTGCCTGGGCATAGGAGTGGGGTGTGGAGGTGGCACCCCCAGATGTGCCTTGGGGTCTCTACAGAATTTCCTGGGGTCTCTACAGAATCCTGAAAATCTCTCTGCAGTAGCAGTCCTTGTCCATGAGTACATGAACCCCCCGAAGGGGGTTTGCGTGTGCACATTCGTGCATCCCCGGGAGAGGGTCTCTGTGAGCCCGAGCGAGGTGACAGCACTGCCCCCCGGGAGAGGGTCTCTGGCATCCCCAGGGAGGTCTGCGAGCCCGAGCGAGGTGACAGCACTGCCCCCCGGGAGAGGGTCTCTGGCATCCCCAGGGAGTCTGCGAGCCCGAGGGAGGTGACAGCACTGACCCCCGGGAGAGGGTCTCTGGCATCCCCAGGGAGTCTGCGAGCCCGAGGGAGGTGACAGCACTGCCCCCCGGGAGAGGGTCTCTGGCATCCCCAGGGAGTCTGCGAGCCCGAGCGAGGTGACAGCACTGCCCCCGGGTGCCGGGTCCCCTAACCTGCCATGCACTCTGTCCTGCTTGGACACATTCACGACAAAGCAGTGACTTCAGTGACACACTGTACTCATCTTTGGAATGAGATTCTCTCCTCTCACATTTATACCCATGTGAATTACGCACACTCCATAGTACATTTTAAAAATGTGAGTGAACTGTATTACTTTAAATATCTAAAATATCCTTTAAATATCTAAAATATCTAAAATATCAGAGACATCCTGTCTCTGGGGCTCTGGTCTCTTCTGCGGCCACCTTTCTCCTTCCCGCCTGTGCCACCCCCAGTCCAGCACGGGTCCCACCTGGCCGCCTCTTTGCCCCCAGGTCCCTGGGCCCTGCACTCACCCTGCCCGTTCTGATAGTGCATCTTCTCCTCGTCCGAGTCCTGGAAGGCCTTGCTGTAGCCACAGTGCCTGCGGAGGGGCCACCGCGCTTTCTGGGGCCAGCCCAGCCCCAGCCCGGCCCGTCCCCTCCACTCCCTCCCCGGCAGGTCGGCTCCTGCCCCGCCTGGAGTCTGCAGGGGAGGCCCGGCCTCAGGCTCTCAACCCAGCTGACTTGTGACAGCCGTGACAGTCACAAGCATTTTGTGAGCTACAAAATGCCCCCAGTCCACCTGATCCTCACAGCAAAGCCGTGAGCCCCGCGTTCCATGAAACCACCTCAGGGGGCGCGGGAGTGGGGCCGCAGCTGCCATCTTCGCTGCGTGACCTCAGCAAGCCCCTTCCCCGGGCCTCGGTCTCCCGTCTGAGGGATGACCCTCCCATTCTCGCAGTCTGGGACCCTAAGCAGGCGCTCGGCACACTAGCCCGCATCCGCCTCCCTCCAGGATGGAGGGGAAAGGAGCAGGTGACTGCGCACATCTTCAGCTTGACCGACCTGGGTTCATGTCCCAGCTCGGGCATCTGTCAGCTGTGTGACTTGGGCAAGTGGCCTGACCTCTCTGATCCCCAATTTACTTTCCTACAAAACGAGGTCAGAATCTTTAAATCACTGAAGTGTCATTAGGTTAAGCGAGATGGTGTATCTGTGAGTGAGCCAGCCCCAGGCACGTGGGGACCACCGGCTCGGTGGGGCTGGGGGCAGACAGGGGGCACAGCACGCTTAGGAGGACTGGGGGACTGGGCCAGGCCACCCACCTCTTCTTACAGATGAGCAGCAGCAGAAGCACCACCAGGCCCGTGATGAGCGTCAGGCAGATCCAGACGATGGTCCGGGTGTCGTAGCGGGGCCCTGCAGCGGGAAGCCGGGGTGGGGGACCAGGCTCTCAGCTCTGGCCTCAGGCCCAGAGTCTGGCAGCCTTACTGGCCCGTCTGAGCGCCCTGAGGCCTGGTGGGCAGCCCCCTTAGCCACCGCCAGCCCAGTGTCAGGGCGCAGGCCACCTCCTCCCCTGCTCCTACCTGCCCTCTACTGAGCTTCCCCTCAAGAGCCTGCTGCCCTGGGCGGCCTGGCTTCCCAACGCTGGTGCCACTGCTTCCTGGGACCGTGTGACATGGAGAGTCACGCCACTTCTCGGAGCCAAGCACAGATGAGCATAAAAATGCCTGTCCTTCTTGTTACTCTGACAGTGACAAGGCTGAGTGTGCTGACAGCTGGACACTCAAGCCTCGGTGAGCCCTCCCCACATCCCTTCCAGGGAGGCCAAGCGCTACCTTCAGTTTTCAGAGGAGAGAACAGATAACTCAAGGAGTTTACCCAAGGCCACACAGTAATGAGATTGGAGGGGCACATCCGGGCAGTCTCAAGGTGGCGCCAGGCCTGTGAGCACTCGAGACACAGGTGGCAAGGGGGTGCCGGGAGGGGTGGCTGTAATCTGTCCAGCACCGGCACGTGGCAGGGGCCACGCACAGATGAGACCCCGACTGGCTGTCTGAGCAGGGGAGAGTGGCAGGGACAGCCTCTAAGTCGGCATTCCCCAAACAGGAAAGTGCCTTGGGGTCCCCCACATCGCTGCGCACCCAGCCCCAGCACTTCTCGGGGGCTGGGGCAGGGCCTGAGAATGAGCATTGCTGGCGTGTGCCCAGGGCTGCTGCTGGAGACACTGGGGAAGGCGCCTGGAATTTGTCCCCAACTGACCAGGTTCAAATCTTGCTTTGCTGGGCAACCGCGGGCAAATCGCTTTGTTGCTCCGACCCTCATTTGGGGACGTGGACAAACCGCTCGCTAGTGTCGGCTCTGGGACGATCACGAGGCTATTCTGCCGTGACGGGAATCGGGGCCTGCAAGTCACACTGATGCCTGGCAAGAGCCAGCAGGTGACAGAGTGCTGCTGGCCCTGGTGCCCTGGCAAGTGACTTCCCCCCTGAGCCTCTGCTTGCCACCTGCAACCATGCCACCAACAGCCCCGCAGGACAGCGAGAGTGGAAATCCCGGCCGGCACCAGCTCGGCGGGTGCCAGTCCCCTCCTCGGCCCGGCCTGGGCTGGGCGCGGAACCCGCCCTCCCTGCTCCCGGCACTCACGGGGTTTCCCAGTCTCCACCTCCATGGCCTGGCTGAAGCGGCCGCAGCCTGCCGAGGTGCGCGCGCGGACCTGGAACACGTAGCGCGTGCCCGGCTTGAGGCCGGAGATGGTGGCTCTGGTGGTGACGGCCTTGAGGGTGGAGTAGCTCTGCATCTCCTTGTCCTGCAGGGGAGGGTGGTCAGCGGGCCCGGCCCCCAGCCCCGCCCAGGCCCCAGCCCGCCCGCGGGTACCTTCTCGTAGTACTTGATCTCGTACTCCAGGATGATGCCGTTGGGCTGCTCCGGCTCCTGCCACAGCAGCGAGACGCTGGTCTGGCCCGCCCGCTCCTGCCGGATCGCCACCACCTGCGACGGGGCTGGGGAGGCCGCCCCGTCAGACCCGCAGTGGGGCGAGGACCGGCGGCCGCCCACCCACCCCTCCCAGGCCCTGCCCGGGACCCTGTCCTGCCCCGGCCCCCGGAGAGCAGCACCCCACCTCTGTCCTGGCAAATCGCTGGCTGCCAGCCGGGTCAGCACCCGGGGTCACCTGGCCCAGCCAGACGGAGCCGGGCCTGGGTCTCGTGCTCAGAGTGCTGGAGCAAGGAGGGAAGGACAGAGGGAGGGGCGAGAATGGAGGAAGCGGCCCCCCTGCCTGGGTTTGGAGGGGACGGCCGGGACAGCTCTGGGTTCCCAGGGAAGGTGGGCTGAGCCCCGGGGCCATCCGAGGTCAGGTATCCTTCCAGTCAGTCACACTAGGTCACTGGGCTCCCTCGCTGACCGACTCACCTATCCCTTCATCCACCCCTCCCTCCCGGTTACCCCGAGGTGAGTCTGCGGGGAGGTGCCGGGTACAGACACAGCCACAGCCGAGCGGAGGGACCTGCCCCTCCAGCCCGCAGGCCTCCCGTCCCTCTGCTCCGCCCAGTCCCACTCTGCCCCGCTCCCCCACACCCCACCTGCCCCGCGTGGCCGGTTCTTCCCTCATGTCTGGGCATCCTGTCTCCCCAGCTGGCCTGGGAGCTCCCTGAAGGCAGGGGCTGCACACAGTAGGTGCCTAATAAATACTGTGGGACGACTCTGACATGAAAGTTAACAAGCAGCTCCAGAGTGGGGTGGAAGGGTGTGGCCAGCCTGGGAACCAGGTGTGGGCTCAGGCCTCGGCCCCTCTCCTGCCAGCTGGGACCTGGGTGAGTCGGCAGCGGCTCTGGGCATCGGTGCCCCAAGCTGTAAAGGGAGGCTGGTGGGCACCACCTGCCAGGGCAAGGTGAGGGTTCATGAGGCCACTGTACGAGGGACACACAGGGAATGTCTCTTAAAAACCAGGGGTGTCCCGAGGCGGGAGGTGCTGCAGGGGTGGGGCAGAGAGACCAGGGCTCAAGGCGAGGGAATGGGCTGCGCTTCCCGGAGGGCTCCAGGAGGAGGTGGCTGTGGAGGGAGGGGCCGAGGGGCAGGCAGGAGGGACACAGTCCTCCCCATTGGCTCTGCCCCTGGGCCCCATCCCAGAGCTGTGGGCTTCCACTCCATCCTCCCCCGAGGAGGCACCGGGCTAGGACCAGGGGACACTGCAGGGCCCAAGACAGCCCTCAGGGAGCCATGGGCTAGGAAGGGGGACAGGCAGGAAGCGAGAAAACCAACCGGCAGGACAGGATCGTTGCAGGTTGTTCTAGTGCCAGGCAGGCAGACGGAAGGTGTGGTGCTGGAAGGGACCTCAGGCAGGACTGGGAGGGCACAGGGTTGTTTTAGCCGGGTGGTCAGGGTGGCCTCCCAGGGCAGAGGGACCAGACTCAGAACGTCAGGGGGCAGAGCGAGTCATGGGAAGGCAGAAGCAAGGTGAAGACCCAGCGGCAGGGAAGGGCTCGGGTGCCCAAGGACGAGGACCAGAGGCCAGCACGGCTGGAAGGGCGAGAGCCAGCACAGCAGAGGACGGGGCGTGGCTGGAGGGTGGCAGGGGCGAGGTCGTGGGCCCACTCGGGGCCTGAGGGTCTGGCCGCAGGTGTGCTCAGCCTGAGCTGTTAAAGGGTCAAGGCCCAAACCCAGCCCCATCTCGCGCAGATTTCTGACGCTAGCTCGGAAACAGTGCGGAGAGCGACCCTCGGGGGCAAGGCGGGAGGGGCTCCTGTGGCCGTCTAGGTGACAAGTGATGGCGTGCATGGTGGGGGGCTGAGGGTGACGGGGTGGTTTTGAAGGGAGGCCCCGTGGGACTCGCTGGTGGATGGGTGTGGAATGTCAGAGTCAGGGTGACAGCCTGGGTTTGGGGCTTCAGTGACCCAGCGGTCGGGGCGCCAGGTGCTGGGTGGGGGCTCCGGGGGAGGGACAGGTGTGGGGGTGCTGTCTGTTTCTCACACGCCTGAGCAGAGATGGGCGTGGGCGGCTGGAGCCCGGGGAGAGGTCTGCGTGGTGACAGCGTGAAGGATGGGACTCAAAGCCGCCGGCCCTGACCAGGCCACGCAGAAGAGGCTGGCCTTGGCGCACAGGAAGGAGGAGGGCCGGGGCGCAGGGGCACCCCAGCCCCGAGAGGCTGTGTGAGGAGGGGCCGCAGGGACGCAGGCCAGGCCAGGCGGGGGAGGGGGAATGGGGAGTCTCGGGCGTGGCTGCAAGAGAAAGGTGCTCCACGGCCGAGAGAGCCGGGGCAGAAGCGCCCAGTGGACGTGGGCACGCGGGGTGTCAGTTCCCGCAGAGAGGGGAGGAAATAGGCCAGGGAGGAGAGGGGCGGGCGTGGTGGGCACGGCCGGCTCTTCCGAGAGGATTTTATGGGAAGAGAAACAACAGGCTGGGAGGGAATGCAGGGTCGAGGGAGGGGCTGGTGGGGGGCTCGCAGGTCTCCTCACTGTTTCGCCAGCACCTAGCACAGCACTGGGCGTTTAGTGGGTGCCCCACAAATGCCGCTGGACAGGGAGGCTCCTGCGTGGACGGAGCCCTGGCCCAGCGAGGGGGGCTGCCCTGGATTCAGAGCTGGGGGCGGGGGCTTCACTGGGGCGTGGGGAAGCCCTGGGCTGGACGCCTGGCTCTGCCACTTCCTGGGCAGCTCTCTGGCCTGGGTCTCTTCCTCTGTGACATGGTGGGAACAGTGTCAGGGCTGCGCGGTGCTGGGAGGAGACAGGAGGTAGGAGCCCGGGGGTCACAGACACACTCGAAGGTGGCCGTTAACAGGAAGGTGCCCCTGGCGGGCTCTCGGGTCAGGCAGGACCCCCCAGAGTTTGAAAAGGAGGAGGTTCCAGGGGCTGAATCCAGCCCACTGGCTGGCTGGAAACAGACAAATGGCTGTGCTCCAAGCCAGTGTGACCAAACCCGTCCCAGGGGCAGCAGTGGCAGCTGTTCTGGAAAATGATCATCAGAGTAATTTTATTTTGTAATGACATTTATTGAGCATTTACCCTGGGCCAGGTGCTGGGCTAGGCACTTTCATTCCTAAGGCCGGCACTGCTACTCCCATCGCACCAAGGAGTCGGGCCAGACGGGGAAGTTCTGGAAGCTGGGCTTATGGCGCCACGCTAGCGTGCCTTCAGATTCCTCCCGCTTACAGAGCATGCTCCACTCTCCTAGGGCATGATGCGCCTCTGGCTCTGGGTGCTGGTGGGGAGGGCAGGGCCCGCCAGCCAGGCACTTGCCCGAGGCCCTCAGCCCTCAGACCCCGGTGGGCGCGGGCGGGGGCTGGGCACGGGGCTCTCCGCCTACCTGCCTGGTTCGTGGTGATGTTGACGACGGCAGCCTGGCGGGGCTCGGGGCTCAGGTGGGACACGCCATTGACGGCCTCGATCCGGAAGGAGTAGTTCATGTGCGCCAGCAGGTTGGCCACCAGAAGGCTGGCCTGCACCAGGCTCGTCTGCTGGGGCACGAAGCGGGTGCCGCTGCCACACGCCTCGCAGTGGCTCAGGGCCCAGGGGCAGCGGCGGCACACGGCGTTGTAGGTGATGTCGCTGCGGCCGCCCGGGTCCAGCGGAGGGGCCCACTCGAGAGTCACCGACGTCCCATTCACGCTGGAGATCAGGTTTATCGGTGCCGACGGAGGCCCTGGAGGCAGAGGGTGAGAGGTGGGGTGGAGGCTGGCCCAGCCTCCCCACTGTCCGACCCGGGGTTACCCAAGCGAAAGGCTCCCCGTCACATTTAGGGGTCCTTAAGGATAGGGTCACATCTGTCCTCGGGATGCTCCCCGAGGGCAGAGGTTGTGTCCCTGTGACCACAGAAACCCAAGCGCCCCGCCCCCGCCCACGCAGGACACAGGGATTCCGGGTCTGTGCTTCCCAAGTTCTCAGCCCGCGCAGGAGAGACGCACGGTCCTGGGGCACCCACAGCAGCCACCTGCTGGTGAAGTGACCCAGTCACTGGCAGCCACATCCATTCCTTAACCTGCGTGCCGGATTTAATGTAAATGCCACTGAGCACTCACGGAGGGTCAAGTGGAACCCCAGGCAGCCCGCCACGCGTCCCCACGGCTGTGTGTGCCCAGCAACCCCTCCCCCACCCCTGGAACGGGGCCCCCAGTCTGGGCGGCACAAAGACTCTGGGGGGGAGGAGCCCCTTTGTTGAGCAGGCCGGGGGCAGGGCTGGGGGTGGCACTTGGTTTGAGCCAGGAGGACATAGGGGACTGTGTGGACCCCTGGCCTCAGAATTCCAGCTCCCAGAACCCAGGCGGGAATCTTAGATCTTCAGAAAATGCAACTGCAGGAGCTCAGAATCACAAAGAATCTTGCCATCCGAAGAGGAGAGAATTTTAAAATCTGAAGGGTCTGGAATACTAAAAACCTAGTCCTTTTCAGTCTTAAGCTTTCTAGACCTTAAGGCGCTGAATTGTGGGTTTGGAAAGAAAACCAGAGTCCAGCCAGCTTTGTGCAAGTGTCGTGACCTAGGCCGGGCCAGCCTTGCCCGAGCAGCCCTGCTGTCACCATGTCACCTGGCTGCCCTTGCTGCAGGTGCCACATGGGGAAAATGCACAGGTCTGGGCAGAGCAGAGGAGGGTGGGGGGCACACGTGTGTGCGTGTGAGTGTGTGCATGGCAGGCGCATGCATGTGGGTGTGGATCCACCTGGATGTCCCACCTGCCATGCGCAGGGAGCCCAGGGCTCGGGGGTGATGGGTGAGTGGGAGGGGAGAGGGGTCCAGGCAGGGCAGACTCCGGGGCAAAGTCAGGACAGTCTGAAGTGCCCCTCACCCCCGCAAGAGCCCGGGGCGGGCAGGCGGCTGGGCCGGGCGGCCGGGCTGTGAGCGGCCCTCCAGGGCAGGGAGGAGGGAGCGCAGGCGCTGCGTCAGCAGAACCCGAGCAGTCACGCAGCCCTGCAGGCGCGGGCGCCAGAACGCCTCCGTGCGCCCTCAGGGACGCGGGGCACAGGCACGCACAGCCACACCCAGCCGGGCACACGCTTCCTTGCTGGGCCAGGCGTGCCGTGCACACACACACGCGCTGAGGTCACAAGGCACGCTCCTTCAAGCTTCGCAGTGTGTTTGCGTCCCCTGCGGGCACCCGGATACTCACACATAGCCCTAAGGACCCTTTACATATGTGAGCACACGTGTGCATCTCCCGCCCTCACGCAGGCCTGCAGACACGGTGCAGATGTCCTCCGCAGGAGCAGCTGCAGACACGACACGCTGCCACACAGCCGCTGCCGCACCCCAGGGCACACGCAGAGCCAGACACACACCTCCGTGTACAAGCACGCCACGCACATGCAAGGCAGCTGCGCCATGCAGCAGCTCCGACCAGCCCATGGGTGACGGCAGTGGGGCGCCACTGTGACCCCATGCTCACCCTCAGGTCGGCACCCCAGCCTGCCCACCCAGCCCCAGGACACGGCTTCACAGCCAGGTCTGAAGAGGACCGAGGCCCCGGAACGGGGAAGGGCATGAGCCCGGCTCCATTCCTCCAGAGCAGAGAGGAGAAGCCAGGGACAGATGGCAGGTGACACCTGACAGGGGCTAGGAGCCCAGAGAGGTCAAGGCCACCCTTGAGGGGCCAGAGTCACCCTCCCAGCCCCAGACAGGCCCCTGGGCTGGAGTGCCACCCGCCCCTGCCCCACAAACAGAGAACTGGCTCCCTGGGACCCCGAGCACGGGGTCCTGGCCCAGACTAGGGCTCGCGGTGCGGGGGCTGGGGGGTACTCACGGGTGCAGGCTGAGGACGGGGGGTCCAGGGCTGCGCGGTAGTAGCTGAGGTCACAGCGGCAGGCCTGGGCGGCAGGGGCTGCAGAGTGGCTGTGGGGAGGGCAGCGGGCACAGAGCTGGTCCCCAGGGGCTGACTTGTAGAAGCCCAGCTCGCAGGCTGTGGAGGAGAAGGCGGCCGCAGGTGAGCTGGCCAGGCCACCCTGGCAGGCCTTGGGGACAGCTCTTACTCTGACCCAGAGCTTCCTGGCGGAGCCCCCAGAGGGACAGGGGTGCAGACCTCCAGCAGCGCCCAGGGCGGCCTTCACGTGCAGATGGAGGGATGGAAGCACAGAGGGCCTGTGACTGACACAGGGTTGCACAGCAAGGCAGGGCAGAGCTGAGGGTGGAACCCTGACACCGAGTCCCCGCCCCAAAGTCGGCCTCAGCCCTGAGCTTCTCCAAATCCCCTGGGCCCCTCCTAAGGGCCTCTTCCCAGGCCCTGTCTCCAGCCTCCGTGGAGGTGCTGTCCTGTCCATTATGGGACACCAGTCCTTAGCTGAGACCCCAGCCTTAGGGGCTGGGGGCCAAAGGAGGGTGTGACTTGGGAGGACAGGGAATGGGGTGGCGGGAATGTGACCGGAAAAGAGGCACACGTGGCAGGACCCAGGGCTCCCACACGTGCGCAGACTTGAAAATACAGATTCCTGCCCCCACAGACGTCCCATTTAGAGGAGCCACTCTGGGGCCCAGGACTCTGTGTCCCTCACCTGGATGACTGCAGCCCGGCCTGCCCGCCCCGGCCGCCTGTGGGACCATTCACCCGGGCAACCGCGCCTCCCGGGTGCTGGCTCTGGGCCAGGTCTGTCCTGCGCCCCGGAGGCAGCTGTGACGGGGGCCACAGTCTCGGCCCCCAAGGGGCTGCCGGGTCAGAGAGGAAGACACAGCAAACAAGCCGAGAGCATTTTCTAGAAGGGAAATGGGGGACGAGGCAGCGGAGGGGTAAGCGGCAGGGGAGCCCCTCCCCCGGGGAGAGGATGGCGTGTGAGTGGTGGCCGGGAGGAGTCCACTGTGCAGGGCGAGGGAACAGTCTAGGTTGGGGGGATCTCTAAACTTCGAGTCTCATTCAGTCACTGCCTGTTCAACTCCCTCACTGGCCCCCCAGGGCTTAACCAGTAAAGCCTGGCGCTGAAACCCCTCCCTGCCGGACCAGCTCCACCTGCAGCGCCTTTAGTGCCACCTCCCCCATCGTGAGGCCACACTAAAGCCCTGGCACCCACCACACCCAGCGGCTATTTCCCACCTCAGGGCCTTTGCACGTGCTGCAACTTCTTCCTGGGATGCCTTTTCTCCTTCGTCTGCCTATCAAGCTCTTGTTTTAGGGTTCATTTATACTGATCCTTTGATGAAACTTTCCTAGACCTCTACACACATGCACACACACACGCGCACACACAGACACACACACAGAAACGACCCTTCCCTTCCCTGCTTCCGCAGTCCCTGCGTGCTCTCACCACCTACAACACTCCGGCTGTGCTCCTGTTTCTGTGTCTGACTCTCCTCCTAGCCCGCGGTCGCTGTGGGCAGACCCTTGTGAGGACAGGACGGGCTGCCCTGTTCATCTCAGGCCGGGCGCCTGGCGCAGGGCTGGCCCAGGACGGGAGCTGCTTGCGCCGGCGGGGGTTTCGCACTGAGTCGCCCCCACCCGTATCTGCTCTGGGCAGACAGAGACTCCAGAGGTTCGGGTGAGCCAAATGCCACCCAGCCAGGCAGCTGCTCCCGTGGGGCCGGCGTCCTTTGGGACAGGGACCAGCAGGGAGCTCACTGGGACTCTGTCTCCACTTAATCCCGTTCTGAAAGCTCCGTGCTTGAGAGCAGCTTCATTTGGAAAGACGTCACGTCATTTCATCTTCGGATGTTGATCGTATCTCTTTATTATAACAGCTAAAACCAGGTTAATTTGTAAAATTTTACGAACTTCAGAGGAAACCTGGAATCGAGAGAAATGCTAATGCCCTTAGGTGGCTTTGCAGACTCAGGGGCTGCGGGGCTTGCAAGCTGCGGGGCTGGGGAAACAGGCCCCGGGGTCGGGGCATCCTCTCCCCTCGGAGCAACCCCGGGAGGGCACAGGCCTGGCTGGGGGCTGGGAGCTCAGAGTCGTGGGGGCTCCCAGTTGACACCCTGTGATCTCGCCTCCTCTTCCCAGAAGCACCCTGGGAGGCTCAGTCCTGGGGCACAGCCCGGGGCACAGGCTTCTCCCGGCCCGGGAGCCGGTGGAGACGGCACCAGCAGGAGGGGCTTTGCGGGGAGGCAGCAGGTATTTGTTGAACCTGTTGTCGGGCTGAATGACAGGAATTCTCCCTGCAAGTACCGGATGCACGTCTTAGTGTCGCCTGTATCCCTTCCCCTGACATTCGCTGAGCTTCTACTATGGACCCAAGAGAAATACGGGCTGGCCCTGCTCACAAGGATCTTTCAGAGCAACGAGGGACAGGCACATTGGTCATCTTGGTGTGACGCGTGGCCAGAAGGAAGCACAGCACGGTGGCTGCCTCCGCCAGTCCCTGGCCCTTTGCAGAGTTCCTCTAGTCCTTGCCAGGTACGAGCAGAGACTCCGGGGCAGGCTGCTTGGGTTCTCGTTCTTGCCTGACCCCTTTTCCTGGGCTAAGTGACATTGGGCACCTTGCTGGAACTCAGTCTCCTCATCTGTGAAGTGGGGAGAATAATAGTACCCACCTCAGAGGGCTGGAGTGAGGACTGCACGAGTGAATTCGTGGAAACTCATGCCAGGAAGGTGCCCGGCACTCGGTATGACAACTGGGTGTCACTGGCATGAATAGAACTGTTTGAAAAAAGAGGAAAGGAGGCTCAGGGAGCTTGAGTGCCCTGCCCCAGGTTCCCAGCTGACCGGGGACACGAAGCCGGGTGGGGGAGCGTTGGGAGCCGTGGCCTGCCCCCCGCTCCTGCCCCCCGGCCTCTCAGCACCGTCCCGGGGCTCGGGGGTGGCCTCGCCGCTCTGTCGCTCAGCAGCCGGCAGTCCTCACGCACTGGGCTAATATCCATATGGCTATAACGTGTCAAGGCCAGATTAATCCACGCAATGAAAATAAAATAATCTTTAATAAGAATACTAATCACCAGGCCTCAGGGAGCCCGGAGACCTGGAGGCTGGGCCGGGAATTAATGGCCGAGACAGATGGAGCTGCTCTGGGCGGGGGCCCGGCCCTGCCCGGCGACCCGGGGGGCTTCCGGAGTCTGCCTGTGCCGGGTGTCGGGCCGTGGGCCAGGAGGGCCCCTGCCCCAGCCGAGGGCACCTTGCCCAGGCCGCCTGTCAAGCCGGCAGCTGCCTGCGGCCCCGGCCACCTCTCTGCTCTCCCCCGCAAAGAGCTTGAGATTTGACAAATAAGGTGTCCGCCGGTGGACGGCCAGAGGAAATTAATTCTAAATCAGATTTTAAACACAGTCAGGAAGGCAAAAGAGCTCGTCGTTCATGCTCCCCCTCTGAAATGAGACTCTGATATTTATAGAAAGATGATTAGGGCCATGGAGGGTGATTTATATTCTGCGTCCAGGTGACAGGAAGGACGGCAACCAGGACTTCAGGCTCTGGGCTGCGTCTCCATTGGGTGATGCTCTGAGAGGTCCCTCCCCTTTCTGGAGTCCGGGAGGGGAAGGAAGTAGAGCCCGGTGTGGGGGAAGGCCAGTGGGTCAGGAGCTGTGTAGCGTGGGAAGCTTTCTAGTTGAAGGATTGGGAGACCTGAGATTCCATCAAACACCCCTTGCTGTGTGTCCTTGGGCCAGTCACTTCACCTCTCTGGGCCTCCCTTTCCCCATTGGGAAGCCGGACTAGCTCCACATGGCTCTGACATTTTCCCATGGGTCTCTGGGACCCGAGTGCAATCTTAGCAAGGCCTCTGCAGAGCCGTGTGACCGGGGAGGTCCCTTCCCCTCCAGGACTGCTCTGCCTTCCCCTGTGAAATCGAGTGCTGGCCCCAGCTTCTGAGGGGAGCTCTGAGGGAGAAACTAAGACAACGGGAACCCCGAGGCAGGCAGGGTGCCGTCGGTGGGGGCCTGGCCCCTGCCGCAGTCCTCAGGCTCTGGACCCCTTTGCCTATCACTAGAAGGAAGGGGCCCAGGGCTGGGCACGCTGTTCCAGCCCTTCCTCTGCTCAACAGGGAACAGGAGGTCCCCAAACTGGGCAGGGCCCCCCCGGCAGGGCCCCCCCTCAGGCGGGCTCCTACAGACCCGCTCAGGTTGGGCAGGGGTGGCCGCAGGTAGGAGAGGACGTCCAAGTAGCCCCGGACAGGCACCACTGTGCTCCCAGCTCCTTCGTGGCCCCGGGCCACCCCCGAGGAGTGACGGGGCTCCAAGGAGGACGGGGCTTCTCACAGGGAGGGTAAGGGGGACGCGGGCAGGCTCCCACTGGGACCCGTGCTGCCCTTCCCAAACGAGGTTACACAGGCAGTGACAGAAGCCCACCAGCAAGGCTGAGAAGCGTCTTTCCTGGTGGGACATAAAACCGCACTCCGTTCCCAGATCTCACTGCCTGCACTGCCTGCAGTGTACTGTGAATTAATATTTTTTATAAAACCTGTAATTATCTTGCAACTGGCATAATTATGTTGCATTATGATTTAAATGTAAAATTCAAAATATGCCGCAATTCCCTAACCCCGCTTTGGCACTTCTTTATTATTTTTTATTAATGTGCCGGCAGTCCCAGGAAATGGGGCTGGCCTTGGCCACTCCCAGCCCCGGGAGGTCCTGCTGCTCAGGCCCTGCGGTTTCCGCCAAGGGCCCTGCCCTGGGCATGCTGTGGAACCGTGGGCAAGACGCGTCCCTCTCTGGGCTCCGCCGCCCACCCCTGCCAGACAAGAAGACTGGAGCGTGACCCGAGACCCCCAAGCGAGGCCTTGACCCCAAAGTCAGGCGGGCAAGTCTGCGTCCTACAGGCACATGTGTCTCGGCACACACAGGACAAACGCCTGGCTCATGTGTGCTCAGTGGCTGAATCCAGAGTTGGGGACAGAGGTGGCTCTGAGTGGCCGTGCACTGGCTGGAGGCCCGATTGTCATGGCCTATGCGGTACCAGTTACTAACCGTCTGAATGTCACCCTAGGGGGAGGGAAGTGGGGCTTTAAAGAGGGTATCATGGACAGAGGAAGCGGCTCAGGGCTTTGGAGTCAGGTAACCCGGGACCATATCCCTACTCTGCTACTTAAGATGAGGGGCCTCAGTTTTTCCCACCTGTAAAATGGGGCTATAATACCTCGCTTAGAGGACTGTCATAAGGATGGGAAACTGCGTGAACTCCCTGAAGGCGGGGACTCCAGGCGCCTCTATCTCTGGTGCCCAAGATGCAGAAGATGCTCAACAGAACGAACACTACATAATGTGTAAGAAGCACTTACGAAAGTGCCTGGCACATGGCAAACACTTGGAAATTGTCACTAAGGTGCTTTGTTACCCCCATCAGAAGGAGGGGATGTTGGGAGCAGCTCTGGAAGGGAAAGCAGCCTGGGGGGGGGGGTTAGGTGGAGCTAAAAGCCTGCACCTGGCTCGGAGCAACACAGACCCGCCTTCGGGCCCCAGCTCCACCGCTCACCAGCTGTGAGACCTTAGCAGTTGACACGATCTTGTGTGCCTCAGTGTCCCCATCTGTAAAATGGAATTGTAATAGCTGCTGCCTTGCTACAATGAGCAACAAATGAGCAGGTGGGTAAGGGGCACCCCCTGCAAGCTGTGAAAGTAATAGGGGGGTTGCTGTCATTCTCTATTGGAAAGCCAGGAAGAATAGGGACGCCTGTGCCAGGAGCCACGAGAGGCTGGGGCCTGGGAGTCTGGCAAACCAGGCTACTGAGGCAGAACAAAGCCAGAAACAAGCAAATGTCTCAGGTGTTCTGGGGTTGGGTGCAGGACAGGCGAGGACTCGTAGCAGTTGGGGTGTAAAGAAAGATTTCTTAGGAAGACCAGAGAGCCTCGGGGAAGGGCTGGGAAGGGCCTGGGGGCTGGAGGGAAGGTCCTGGTCCCAGAGGTCTCTGGGCAAGACAGCTCCTCTGCTGGACGGGTCAGCTCTGTAACTACCTTCGTGTCACCTGAGACTGCCAGCCCACGCCCTGCTCAGTCCCGTTAGCACTGAGGGGTCCCTCCTGCCCGCAGGGGGCAGGGGTGGGTGCTGAGGGCTGAAGGGCCACTCGCTGCGGGCCCAGGCCTTGCATGGCAGCAGCAAAGGGCTGGGAGGACATTCCCAGCAGCTGACAGGGCCCCGTCCCAGCTTCACTGAGCGTGTCTGGGGACAGGCCCTGGTCTCTCTGATCCCTGCTAGGAACGACCTCTCCCCTTCTCCTCACCCCTGGGGAACCAGCAGTCTCAGCAGCACGTGTCACTGTGCCCTGGGTGGCTGAGCTGCCATGTGTGCAGCTGCTGGGGAGACCAAGGAAGGGCAGAGAGGAACCAGGCTGGGACCAGCAGCAGCTGCGGCATCTGCTGTCTGTCCACACGCGCTCTCCCAGGGTGCCCTGTGCTCGGGATGCCTGCTGCACGCGCCCGGGTGGGGTCTACCGCACACATACACACACACGCACATGCACACGCACACACGTGCCCGCACACCACCTGAGGCCTGGCTCACTCTCTGATGTGGGAACCCAGAAGCACACCCTTGGGTACAGGTGCCACCCTAGGTCATGCCCCAGGGGCTCTCTGCTGTCTCTTCCCACAGGTCCCTGGACAAGGTCCCCCCGACACGGGCAGCCTGGTTCCCCGGCCCAGGGGCAGACCAGCCTGGACCCTGCCCCCTGGGCGCTCCTGCCCGCACACCTTCCCAGCACCCCTCGCCAGACCTTTCTCCCAGGGCCCTGGATCCACACCTCTACCCTACAGGCCAGAAACTTAGCAGTTTTGAACAGCGACTGTGGAGTCAGACTTCTGGGTCCACATCATAGCTCTGCCACTTCCTAGCTGTGTGACCTTGGGCAAGTTGCTTTGCCTCTCTGTGCCTCAGTCTCCCCATCTATAAGACCAGGATAATAACAGTCCTGATCACGTAGGGCAGGGGTGGCGATGACGTGAGCTAACACATGCAAGGCGCTTAAAGCAATGCCCGGCCTGAGCTACCCTCCCTGCCCCTCCCCCTGCCCCCTCCCCCGCCCTCCCCCGACACTTGGGCACACAGGTGGCCGAGTGTCTGCTGACCCAGGAGCACTGAGGCTCACCCGTCCTCCCAGGTGCTGTGTGCACCACCTGTGCTCTCTGCCCCCCCTTCCCCGCTCCAGCGGCCCTGCCCAGCCGAGGGCGCTCACCCACACAGGCATCCCGCCGCTCCTCGTAGCCGGCGCTGCACACGCACTTGCCGATGGGCACCAGCCACTCGCCCTCCGCGCTGCAGTACATCTTGGGCGTGTCCCGCTCCTCCGAGTGCCGCACGCACTGGCCCCGCACCTCCACCAGCGAGGACGAGTCGGCCCCCGTCACCGCCTCCGAGAAGGCGGCCAGATTGCGCACCATGGCGGGGCACTTCTTGTAGTAGATGCGCAGAGAGAGGATGGCGAGGCAGGCGCCGATGTCCTGGAAGGCCAGGTAGAAGCCGCGCTTGCTCAGGGGCCCCACGCCGCGCACCTCGGTGTTGAGCTTGAGCCGCCGCACCCCCAGGTCGGCGCCGGTGAAGCTCTCGTCCGCCGCTATGGTGTCGATTTTGAGGAACTGGCTCTCCTGAGTGCTGGCGCCCAGGTCGCGGTCCGACTCCAGGTAGTAGAGGTTGAAGGTCTCCTTGCAGGTGCCCAGCACGCCCGGCATGCTGTTGCAGTCGCGCAGGGTGAACTTGATCTCGGCGTAGACGCGCCGGGCGCCGTCGCGGGGCACCCAGCTGGTGCGCAGCCAGTTGTTCTGGTAGGGGCTCATGACGTTGCACACCTGGTAGGTGTGGATGGGCCGGAAGGACTCGTCCACCTCGTTGATGGAGTCCCACTGCGGCAGAGAGAACACAGTCCCTGAAGCACCTGCCCCCCTTTTGCCAGCGGCCCTGCCGCCGGCCACGGGCACCGTGTGCGGAGTCCCGGGAGGAGGGAGCTGACCTTCTGGTAGATTGTCACAGCTGCCACATGCCGGGCGCCCTGCAGACGGATCGCACAGAAGGCCACGGTCCTTCTGGGGAAGGGCCATTTGGTGACTTTTGACAGATGAGGAAACAGAGGCTCAGACACGGGGACCGTATGTCTGAGGTGACGTGCCTAGCTAGCGGGTGGTGGGGCTGCACTGGGACTCGGGCCCGTCTGGGGCCCAGACTCTGACCTCGTCTCTGTACAGCTACTCCGGTCGTCCCTAGAGTGTGGGGACTTGCTTGGGGAAGTCAGCGAGTCCAGTTTCCTTATCAGCTGCAGAGGGAGCCTTCCAACATGTCTCTCCCCCCACATCCTCCAGCAGCCCCTCCTGTTGAGTGACTGCCTGGTGGAGAGACTCCCCCTGCCTGCCACCCAACGCTGGGACACCGTGGGCCGGCCTGGGCTCTACCGGGGGGAGTGGCAGGGACGTTGAGTGTGACGGCTTCTGTACAGGCTGCTGGCTGGCGTCGGTGACTCAGAAATAAACCAGACAGGCTCAGCAGAGTGAAAAGACAGTCCGTGAAATGGGAGAAAGTATTTGCAAGCCGCACTTCTGATGAGGGATTACTATCTGGGATATATAAAGAATTCCCACAACTCAAAAACAACAAAGAGCAAAACAGTCCAATTAAAAAATAGGCAAAGGACCTGAATAGACATTTCTCCAAAGAGGATGTGCAGATGGCCAACTAGCTCATGAAAAGACGCTCAACATCACTCATCGTCAGGCAAACACAAATCCCAACCACACTGAAATGCCACTTCACACCCATTAGGATGGCTACTATTAAAAAAAAAAAAAGCAGAAAAACTAACACGCGCAGGCGAGGACGCGGAGAAACTGCAGTCCTTGTGTGGATGCAAAATGGTGCAGCCGCTGTGAGAAGCAGCACGGCGGTCCCTCCCACCGTGAACGTGGAGTCACCATGGGGTCCAGCAATCCCACGTCTAGGTATGGCTGGACCCGAAACGGTCGAAAGCAAGGTCTCAAGGAGAAATCGGCACACACGCGCTCATAGCAGCATGATGCACAGCAGCTGAATCGGGGAAGCCACCCCGGTGTCCCTTGATGGAGGAAGGGACAGGCAACACGTCGCACACGCACACGATGGAATGTCATTCCGCCCTAACAAGGAAGGAAGTCCCGACTCGCGCCTCGACACAGGTGAACCTTGAGGACACTATGCTCAGTGAAACGGCCCAGGCCCGAAGGGACAGTGCCGTATGAGTCTACCTGTAAGAGGAGCTTGGAGGAGTCAGATTCTGAGAGACAGAAAGCAGAGTGGTGTTAGCGTCTCAGTTTTGCAAGATGAGAAGAGTCCTGGAGCTGCCCAGTGGGGACGGCCACACGGCAGTGTGAACGCACTTAAAGCCGCTGCACCGCACGCTTGAAAAGGGTTAAGCTGGTAACGTTCAATGTTATGTGTGTGTTTTACCAGCATAAAAAAAGAAAGAGAGATTCCAGAAATGCCCCCTGCCCTCGAGTGCCCCCAGGCACAGGCCAGGTGGTGGGGGCCGCTGCGCCACAGGGAGCAGGAGTCCAGGTGGGCGCAGCCTCCCAGGCCCCTCCCCGGTCCCCCCGGAGGTGACATGTGCACGCTCACCGCTGGCCCGGCCCTGGGCTGAGGCAGGAACCTCTGGCAGGGGAGGGGACTGTGGGGCTGAGTTCAGCGACTCCTGAGGGCTCCGAGGAGGATGGGGGTGGGCAGGGGGGTGAGGAGGGCAGAGGAGGGGTTGGGCTCCCTGTCCTGGCTCCAGGGCACATGCAACGCCTTGACCGTCATCCCTATTGCTTAAAAGGGCACAGGGGCTGATGCCCACACCTCATGATGCTCCGAGAGCCCGCGGGGTGGCAGCTTACGGCCGGAGCGTTAGCGTGGGCGCCATGGGCGTCTCAAGTCTTTCCCTGCCTGCTCGAGCCCCGCCACCTGGCCTCGTCTGGACCTCAGTGCCCGCACCTGTAAACGGGGTTCAGACAGGCCCCACCGCAGCCAGGCTCGAGAGGCTGCAAGAGGAAATGCCCGCAAAGTGCCCCGCTCAGCCCGGCCCGGGAGAGCACTTGACGAACGGGACTAGCACGGGCTGGCCTGGCAGGTCTCGCAGCCCGCTCTGCCCGCCTCCCTCGGCCAAGGGAGAGATGTCCTGCCTCCTACGGGGCCACAGGGAGTGCCGACCTCACCTGAAAGAGTTTGTGCTTCCTGATCCCCCACCCAAGCAGAACCCCTGCCCCACGCTGCAGCCAGAGCCAGCGCCGCAGCACATCTGGGGCTGAAGTCATCGTCACAATTAATGGAGCACCAAAGAGCCAGCCAGCTGTTCCCTGTCTGCTCCCTGCCAGGGGCCCGGATAAATTAATCAGCTCGATCTGAGTCCGCTCCAGCTGCCCCACCGATGCCAATGGCCTGGCCTGGCCCTGCCAGCGCTGGGAGCTGCCGCAGATGCCCAGAGTGGTGCAGGCTCCGGAGGCCTGCAGCAAGGGCAGGATCCGTTCTCTGCCCGGGGCGCCCCTACCCGGCGCTGAGTCTCCAGCCCCAGGAATGGACACACTGCTCCCCCACCTCTGTCCTCTTCCTGGGTCACCAGCTGTGCAGCCCCGGGGACGTCACGTCCCCTCTCTGAGCCTTGGGCTTCTCATCTGCAAAGTGGGTAGCTAACGCCTGCCCTTCTGTCTGTTCCCAGGGGTGGTGAGGCCCAAGTGACACTGTGGAAACGAACAACGTGCCCTCTTCACGAAGGCAGAGTCCTGCAGTAGACAGCGACTGGCCAGGGGACCAGGGAGGCGGAGCAGAGCGGGCGTGGCCTGGAGAAGGGCAGGGTTCTGGGCCAGCCTCCCCCGCCTTAGTAGAGTTGTTGGCCTCTCAGAGAGCCCAGGTTCTCACTGGCAAAACGCCCTGTCCACGGGCCACCCCGCTGATGGCAGCTGCGCGGCGAGGGCTCGACGATCACCCCATGTGGTGCTCGCGGAGGTGGAGCCCAGCGGAGTGGCCGCCTGCGTCACCCTGGCTACCGGACGCAGAGTGCCAGCCCTTCAGGACCCAGCACTGCGTCCTTCAACCGAGTGACACATCTGATGCTGGGGACAGCTCTGGCTGGTCCCTGTCCCCAGGCTATTGAATAGAGGAGTAGATAGAACCTCAAGGACGTCTCCAGAGGGTTCCCGCCCAGCTGGACAGGCTGACTGCCTGGAAAACTTCCTGAGCAGGAGATACCCAGGCCCTGCCCCAGACCTCCTGGGCGTGGGAATCTGCATGTTCACCTGCCAGCCCGGCCCGGGGTTCAAGGTCCAGAGAGTGTGAGAACCAGGCACTTCACCCCAGCCTTCTTTCCTGTCTGGGCAAACCAGCCACCAGGCCCATGAGGACGGGGGTGGTCCCTCGCCCAGCAGACGGTGCAGGGCTGCCTCCCGCCCTCACAATGAGGTCACGGAGTAGGCCTCACCGCCCGCATTCCTAAGGTGGCCTGAGGGACACAATGCGGGCTCCAGGCCCAGAGACCTGGGTTCGAGTCTCAGCTTGCCATCACCTAGAACCTGTCTGAACCTCAGTTTCCTCATCTGTGAAATGGGGTGGCTGGACCCACCTTGCAGGATTGCTTGTGAGGATTAAATGAGATAATGTCTGTGAATCGTTAAGAGCTACGTGAATATCAGTTGTCATTATTTGCTGTAACTCTCAAATAAATTGAGATAACGCTGAGCTATGCTGTACAGCGCCCTGCAAACAAAAGAACCCAGATCACCAGTGTGACCAGTGTGGCCATCCAAAACACAAGTCCAGCCATGCTCCTCAAAACCCCAATGACTCCTTGTTACCCTAACTACCAAGTCTGAGGCTCTGAGTGGGACAGAGCCACCCCAGAGCCAACCTGGGGCCAGGTGTGCCCTCGTTGCTGGGGCTCCAGGACGTGCCCACTCAGCCAACGGCTGAGCCTCGAGCCTCACCTCCTCACGGTCGGCCTCCGCCACAGGCCGGGCCGCCTCATTCCTCAAAGCCCTTGCACACTCACACTGGCGACAGCCACACTGGTTCACGGAGGGGGAGAATGGGGCCCGGGGAGGTTAAGGGACACCCCGAGGGCCCGACCTCCAGCCCCAGGCAGGGCTGACCCGCCCAGGATGCAGCGCTGGCCAGCAGGTGGGGCTCCCTCCTGGCTCTCGGGCCTGTCCCAGCTCCCTGAGCCCAGTGCAGGAGGGCTGGTGACAGCAGGCTCAGCTCACTGCTGCCTGGTGACAAGAGCCCCAGAGAGAGGAGCGGGGCTCCCGCCACAGGCCACAAACGGCCCAGATGAAATCCCTACCCGAAGTCAAGAAAGTCTCTGTGCAGTTTAACTCTTGGTGTCTCCAGAATCATCGTTACTAACATTACTGTCCCTGTCCCCAGAGCCATGGAAGCTGAAAGTGCTCGTGAAAGAAGTGGGGTGTGCTCTCGTGTGTGTGAGCACGCTGGCGGGGGACATTTACGTGGCGTGACAACCACGTGAGATAACACACACTAGCAACGACGGTAACGACGGTCACAAAAGCCCACGCTTATCAAGCGCCCACCGCGTGCCAGGCATGATGCCAAGCCTGTGTGTCATCTCCCCTCACCCTTGCCACAAGCCTGAGAAGGCCATCACCCACTCATACCTTTACCTTTCTGCAGACAGGGCAACTGAGGCTTGGGAAGGTGACGTGGTGACCCAGGGCCACCCAGCTCACCGTCAGCAGGCCCGGGGCTCACTTTGGCTCTGCTGCCCCACCCCGTAGGATTCAGTCCCCAGTGGGGACTGGGCAGTGTGGCCCTGGCGCTGGGGCCCACCCCTCAGGAGGGCGGGGGCATCACCTATGAGCACGCGACCCACGGGGACCTGGTGGGCTGAGCCCAGAGTCACCATGAAGACGGGCCCGGGGCTTGGCCACAGCGGGGCCTGGCAGTGCCACCCAGGTGGTCCTGACAATGAAGAGAGAGACCAGCAGTGGCTCCAGGGCTCAGAGCAGTCCCCGGTGAGGGCAGGACAGCGGGAGGAGGGGACCAATCCCGAAGGCAGGATGACGGCCAGGCTTTCCTCGGTGCCACTGTGTCCCTGGCTACCCTGGGCCTGGTCTCCGCACATCGTGAAGCTGTAGGCCCTGGGCACAGACATGAGCACCCCCAGATCTGGGGCCTGAGACCTGAAGAATCGGGAGCCCAGGGCCAGGGCTGGTCTGTAAACGGCTCGGGGATCAGCAGCTCTGCCTCTGACTTCTGTGTGTCCCTGGCTAAGCTCCTTTGCCCCTCTGGGCCTCTGCTTCCTTTTGCTCTACCTGAGTCACACCCTCTCTCCACTCACAGGGGCATGGCACCGTCCCCACTGCCCGTCACTCACCCCGTGAGCCGGATACGTGAGCCAGCCCCAGTCTCCGTGGATGGTCGACGTGTCCAGCAAATTCACTGTAAAACGGAGACGAGAGGACGTCAGGCCCCGGTGACTCCTCCCCAGGGCAGCCCGGCCCAGGCGCGCCAGGCCGCTCTCAGCCCCTAACACACAGCGCCGAGCCTTTGCCCACACGGTCCCTCTGCCTGGACCCCTTTCCCGCTGCCCCACCCTTGAAGGCCAAGCTCAAGGTCTCTGTCTCCCCAAAGCCTTGCTCGCCATCTTGGCCAGGAAGCGTCTTCTCAACTCCCGGAACGCAAGTCCCCACGTGGCAGAATTCCTTGGTCGGTGGCGCAGTGGGGCAGTTAAGAGGGGGCTCGGGCGTCCGGCAGGCCTGGCTCAGGACCCAGCTCTGCCACTCACGAGCTGTGTGGCCCCCGGCAAGTCCCTGCACCACCCTGAGCTTCGGCTTCCTCCTCTGTGACATGGGGGGAGACGGTGGCTCCTGCCTCGCAGGGCTTCTGTGAGGGGGACCCGACCCTTGTTTCACGGAGGGGACGCCATGGCACTGAGACGTCCATGCTGGAAGTCACACCTCCCGCCTGAGGCCCGGCCCCCGCTGTATGGTCATTGGTGTCCCCAGGTGTGGCCTGGCACCTCACAGGCCCTCTGCACATCGGGCTGTTGGGCTTGAGAGGGGCCAGCGCTGCCCCTTAGGGAACACCTGCTATGCGCCGGTCTCTGCAAGGGGGGCTTTAGATGCCTCATCTGGGACCCCCACGATGGCCCTGAGAAGTAGTCACTGTCACCTCCATTTCACAGATGGGAGGGCTGAGCCGCGGAGCAGCCCAGGCGTTTGCCCGGAGCCCCGCGGGTGCAGCTGCTGGGGCTGCGTCCAGAGCGTCGGCCACGGCACCAGCGACAACACTGCCACCCGCACGCACGGCCGAGCGACAGAACCTCCGAGCAGTCCCCAGGTGGGAGGGAGCACTGGTCCACAAGGCAGGTCTGTTCTAAGGCAGACCCTGCACAAGGGACCCTGTACAGTCTCAGCATCACGGGAGAGGAAAGAGCCCGCCTGGGCTCGTGTCTCCACACTGCTCCTTCACTTCTTTGACCCTAAGGGTGGGGTGAGGGTTAAGAAGCCTGGAGCCAATGCCTGGCGCAGAGCCCGTCCTTGCCAACGCCACTTCCCTCTCTCCAAGTCCCGTCCAGTCCCCGAGGCCACCCCTCACTGACCGGACGTTAAACTGTTTAGAAACGGGGGTCTGATCCGAGCTGTCTCTCACTGCTGTGTGCCCTTATCTAAGTCCCTTCACCTGTCTGGGCCCGGCTTCCCTTCGATCCAGCTGGGGACAGCTGTATGAGAGGGCTCGGGCTCCAGGGTCCCTTTCGCTCTCTCTCCCGTGAACCTCCTCCCCCAGCCGACAACGGGCTTCCAGCCGCCCCATCAGAGGGCTGGGGCAGGGCACAGAGGGTTAAAGCCGGCCCTCCTGGAACTTTCCCGCAGGGAGGCTGGGTGTCCTTCTGCCTGAGCCCTGCAGAGCTCACAGTCTGCCCCTCCACGCTGGAGACAAGTGTCCTCAGGAAACGCTGGAGTGAGGATGCTCTTATTTGCTGATTTCCTCTGCCTCTCACCCTCCCGGCCCACCGTCAGGGACCCCGAGGAGGCCAGCTGGAGAGGGGCTGGCAGAGCAGGGAGGGGGCCTCTGCGTTCCTCCCGGGGTCCCCAGGGGCCATGTGGGATCATGGGATGGAGCAAATGTCCGCAGAGGATCCCCCTCCCTGAGCCGGCCCCACGCCAGGGGCACAGGCAGAGAAGAAGGCTTCCCGCCTCCCTCCCTCCTCCCTCTCAGCAATGGAGAGAAAACTGGGTCAGGCAGCTCTCTCCTCCTGCTGGCTGGTGGGAGGGGGAGGGGGCCGCACTGCAGTTTCCCCCAGACCAGCCGGGCTGAGTTTGGGGACAGGGTGGGGAGAAGACCCCTATGGACTCCCCCGCCCACCCTGCATCCCGGACACAGGTCTCGGGGCTGTGCGCCCCTTCTCACGTGGCCGGGATGCCACTCAGACCTGCCCCTACTCCAGACAACCCGAACGAACGACCACTGCTTAGAATGCTCCCCCGGACACCCTGACTTTAGGGCCCGCAGGTCCCACTTTCAGATCCTTCCTTCCCCTGGGAAGCCCGGCCGTGCCTGTGGCTGATGCTTGGTCAGCCAGCCGGGGGCTCAGATAATCCAAAGATAAGTCAAAAGTCGATTCTATCGGATTCAGGAAGGGCTATGGGATTCCAGGGCTGTTTGTTCCAATTCCTTCCAGACCCTTCTCTCTTCCCCCACCCCTCCTGTCTCTCTCTGCCCCCACGTCCACCTTCCCTACCTCATGTCCCCTTGTACGGGTGGGAACACAGAGTGTCTCTCCAGGGAGGCGCCAGGCCCGAGGGAGGTCTGATCAGGGCTGGGGAGAACCGGCACTACACCTGCCCGGCCTGGCCTGCGTCCCACGTCCCCCTGGAAATCCAGACCCCGTAGTCCCCACAGCTGGTGGTCTCCCGCCTCCTGCACCGCGGGGCTGGGAAGCCGGTCCCCTCCTCTGGGCCCGTCCCCCACTTGCAAAATGGGAGGATTGGACTCATGGTCTCTCGGGACCCTTCAATGAAGCGAATCACTTAACCTCTCCGTGCCTCAGTTTCCTTATCTGACAGCCGTCCACAGGCATCCCTCCTAGGCCCGGATGCCTGGGCTGTTCTGGGGGGATCGGACGGGCCCCTCTCTGCCTCTGAGAAGCACAGATAATTCCTAAGCCGCTCCTGTTCCACTGTGGAAGGCATTATGCGATTCCTTTTTTCTCTGGCACCGTCACCTTCCCCCATTCCATTTCGCTGAGACTAATACTTAAATTGATTTACATTCCCCGAGGACGCATCGCGTGATGGCGAGGCTGGAGAATTCGGGGTGGCCAGGGGATGTCAGGCAGGATCTGGATGACGCGGAGATCACCCCGACGTGGAGGGTATTCCACTCGAGAGGGCGGTGAGGGCCCTGGGGCCTGGCGGGGCTCGGGGCATCTCCGCAGGGCCAGGCCCTTCCCCGAGGGACCGCCACGAGGGACCTGGCGTAGGGCACTTGGCCAGGCAAAGGCACTGTCACCGCTGCTGGACCCCGGCTGGAAGAGAGCCCCTCCCTGAGTTCCAACAGTCTCCCTCTCGGGCTCTGGCTGTTCCACACCAGCCCGGGGACGGTGCTGGAAAGGATTCCTGATGTCCCCCTGGACCCAGGCCCCAGGTCTGCACCCCATGGCTGTCTGATGTGCATGGGTCATCGGTGCCCGGCTGTGGCCACCCTGCTGTGCTGATCAGACGGGTGTGGCCTCTGGCCCTTGGACAATGCCTCCCTCCACCCTGGACACGCTTCCCTCCGCCCGCCTCTTCCCCAGCTGCACCCCTCCCGGACACGTCCTCTGTCCTAGGCCCATGGGCTGTCCCCAGCACGAGAGCCTGCTCACAGTTCCCTCTGCAAGGGGCTCTGGAGGGTGCCGGCTCCTCCCCAGGGAAGAGAGATGAGGTGAGAAGTCGGGGTGCACTCCCTGGTGCCCAGGGTGGGCCTATCGGCACCCTGCCGGGCACACACACTGCCCCTGGCCCCCACGCCCCTGGGAACGCTGTCTTCTCAGGCGCAGCTCCAAAGTCTGAGGCCCCTTGTGCCCCAATCCTGCCCTCTTCCCTGTGCACCCAGCACCCCGACCCCGGTCTCTCTCCTGGTGTCCCAGGAACCTGTGCCTCATCCCCCTGCCCCCGCCGCTTGTCTGCCTGAGCCTCACCTCTCAGCCCCTCTGCAACGCCCCTGCTCCCTTCTGGGACCCGACTAGCATTTTATCTGTGTCTGTGGGCGTTTGTTTGCGCACACGCATTTCCGTGGGCATGAATGCAAGTGAGAGGCTCTCCGTATACATGTGGTGTGAGGTGTGTGTGCACGCACGGATGCTTCACGCACATGCATCTGTGCCTGTGTGTACATGTGTGCTGTGCACATGTGTGCTGGCTGCATTTCTACATACATGCCTGCGGTGCTACCTGGGGGGCGGGGCACTGTCCGTGCATGTGAGTCTGCACAGGCCTGGGCGTACACGCGTGAGTCCCAGTGTGTGTGCGTGCACCTGTGGGTGGGTGGCATCTCGCTGAGCTGCGTGTGAGGGGCGGATCTGTGCTCTCTCTGAGTGTGGAGGAGCGACACAGGCTCCGGTCCTCACACCCCACGGTCATCCTGTTGGGGGACAACCCTGCTTGGACCCCAGACGTCAGCCCGGGAGCCAGCACAGAGCGCTGGGTCTCGATTCTCCAGCCAGCGCTCTGGGAGCGGCGGGGGTCTGGGGCACCGGCTGGGGTGTGGGACGCAGTACCAGGGTGGCATCCCGGGCTGGCCCTGGAGTGGCCGGTGAGCACAGGCGGGGGTGAGTGTGGAGACGGGAGGCCCTGGGTGCTCCCGCTCAGCTCTCCTGACCCCCCCCTGCCCCACCACCCAAAAGTCACCTCCCAGACGCTTTTGGTCCCAACCACTCAGTCCACGCCCCTACCCACCACACTCCCACCCCCCTTTCCTGGGCCCCGGGTGCCCGGCCACGCTGGCTCACCCCGACCAGCCCGCGCCCAGGCCCTGCCTGCCTCAGTCTCTCTGAACCCTGAGCCCTCCTCACCCGCCCTTTCTCCCGAGGCCACTCCTCCTGCCCCCAAGCCGCCTCTCCTCCAGCTGGTACCCCCGCTGTCCCGTCACCCCAGTGGTCAGCCTGTGCCCTCGGCCACTCCTCTGCCCACTCTTATCCCTGCCCCTCCTGCCTGTCCCCTCCCAGCCGGTCCTGGCTTCTGTCTCAGCCCCTCGCCCCAATGCCATCCTACCCCCTTTTCCTTCAGCACTCTGAACCTGCCCCCCACTGTGTGTCCCTGTCCCCAGTGCCTGCCACACTGTCCTGTCCTCTGTTCCCGTCCCCTGCCTACCTTGCTGTCCCCTCTCTCCTCCCTGCCTCTTCTCTCATCTCGGTCCAGTCCTGTCTCCTCCCCAGTGTCTGCCCCTCAGTCTGCTCCTGTCCCCCACTCCTCTGTCCTTTCCCTCTGTCCCCTAGTCCCCTGTGCCTCTGTCCCTCTTCCTCAAGCCCTCGGGTCCCCATCTCCATCGCTCTGTCCCTTAAGCCCAGGTCTCTCCCAGGTGCCACCCTGCACCCCCAGGCCGGAGCGATCTCGCTGCTTGGAGCTCAGGGTCGCGAAAAGGAAGTTCAGCCGCTGGCAGCGCGCGCCGCGCCCCTTGGCCGCCCCCGCCCCGCCGCCGCGGCTCACCTTCGCCGCGCGCCGCGGACACGCAGGTGGCCGCCGCCGCGGCCGTGACGACCCAGAGCGGCGGGGCACGCGGCCCGGCGGGGGCCATGCCGGCCGGGCGGCGGGGCGCCGCGCACCTGGGCTCGCCACAGCGGCCGCGCGTCGGCGCCCTCGCTCTCCGCACACCGGGCCGGCGCACTCCCCGGCGCACACGCCGGCACACAGCGCACACGCGGGCACCCGCGCCCGCCGCCGCCGCCCGCCGCCCCGGGCGGGGCCGGCCCGTCACGGCGCCGAGCCAATCAGCACCGAGGCGGGGGGGACACCGAGCCCGCACCGCGGACACCCGGTCCGCGGACACCGCCGCACGTGCGCACGCTCACACTCGCGCCCGCTACTGCCCTCGGGGGCGGCGCCCCCCGCGCCCCGCGGCCCCCACGTGGACTCGCAGCCATGGCACCCAGAGCCAGGTGGGACGCCCCCGCGACACCCAGACAGGGACTCACCCGGGGATTCCCCAGGTGGACACACTCGGGCCAGGCATGCACCGGTGCGCTCACTCTTACATGCATGACCCTCGGACACGGAGTGCCTCGCGTGGGGACACATGTGCTTGCACACACACCAGTTCAGGGACTGAGGCTCAAACAACTCAGAGGCACTTTTAGGTAAAAAAAGAAAACCAAAATGAACTCCCCCCACACACCCCTAGAAAGAAAAACTGGGCACAAAGCCAGCCAGAGTTTAGCCAGCCTTCGATTGCAGTGCTGGTGAGTGCGGGCTCAGCGATCAGAGACTAGGATGTGAATCCTGGCTGGGTGACTTTGGGCAAGTGTCTTAACCTCTCTGAGTCCCAACTTCCATGTCTGTAAAACAGGGATAACAGTACCGGTGTCCTAGGGTGGTTGTGCGAATTAAATGCAAGGGCCCAGGCAGAGCGCGGAGCACGCAGCCAGGCACACGCTGCTGGGTGAGGGCGATTACCATTTCCCACTCTCCCCGCCCGGTCCCCTCCCCAGGAGTAGGAGTCTCACTCCTACTGAGATGGCTGAGGGCTGGGGGAAGAGGGCGGGGATGCAGGCTGCCTCCTGGGGCCCGCCCTGCCACCCTCAAGTCCCATGGCACCTGGTGGGCCAAGCAGTCAGTCGCAGAAGCAAATAAGAGGCCTGCAGCCTCCTGGGGGTGGCCCTCAAGTGCGGGTGCCCACGGGCAAGTCCCTGACTTTGCCTCCAGCTTCTGCCCAGCACAGACCATGGTTCAGCTCCCTCTGCCTCACTGCCAGCTCCTGTGGTCACCGGAGGAAGACTTGGACCCATGGCCGGAGGTTATATAGGGTGACAAAGGCCATCTGGGGAGTGCGTGCCATGAGTCAGACCCTGCTCGAGGTGCTTTATAAACCTGCTCCAGTTTACGCCTCGCAGCCCTGTAGGGGAGGTGCAGATAAGGAAACTGGTGCTCAGAAAGGCCATGCTTCTCCTTAGATCCCACAGTCGGTTAAATGCTGGAGAGGTGCTCAGATCCAGACCTATTTGATGCCAAAGCCCACTTCTTTCCTCTGCATCTTTATTTCTTACAGAAAGAAGGAGACAGCTCCATTTAGGACCTCTTTCTGACAGCTCCGACGGACTGCCTCACAAATGTAGTGAGCCTCCTGTTACCAGAGGCATTCAAGCAGATACTAGTTAGAGATTGTGCAGGGATGCTGTGAAGGGACCCGGGTTGGGGAGGTACAACGAGCAGATTGGCCTAGACCCACAGTGGCAGATTCAAATGCCTGCACACAGAAGGCAGGCACCTCACAGAAACTGTTAGGAGAGCGTGCCCGGCTCCAGCCAACCTCGCCAGTGGAGACGTGCGTGAGCCCACTTGTCTGCGTTTTCAAGAGAATTTGCATATCTGGAATTTTTATGTGGCATCTCCTGGTTTTTAAAGTTGGCAGTGAATGCAAACATGCTAATAACACCATTGCGTGGGCAAACCTGGGGCCACAGCCCACGGGACTCCAGACCGTTCTTCAAGGCGTATAGGATGGCCGAGCCTGTGGCTGGGCACTCACTCCTGGGGCATCTCGGGAGCAGGCAGAGGCGGGGCAGGAAACGCCGGCAGCGTGCAGGACAGAGGCACGGGCACTCAGCGGCGGCGCCTGCTCCGGCCCCAGCTCCCAGGAATATTTGTTGGCTGGGGGGAGGCCTTGCTGGGGGTGGGGGTTCTGTATCCACAGTGCACATGGAGCTAACCAAACCGGTGTGCAGGCGAGGACAGTGAAGAAAGTGGGCAGGAACCCTCCAAGGACTGGAGAGCATGCGGCGTGGTTCTCAGTCAAGAGTCTGCAGCACGCTCCAAATAAGAGACTCGTTGTCTCTTGTCACCGGACCAGATGTCCCGGTGGCAGTAGGAGCAGCATGCTTCCAGTCGTTCTCTGCCCCTGTGAGACTCCCAGGACAGCCCAGCCCAGGTGTGTCCTCTGCCCAGGTCTGTCCCTCCCAGCCCTCCCCTCTGCTGTCTTGTGCTTCAAAGGGGCAGCTTGCAGATCTGCCCATGGGAAGGAGGAGGCTCCTACAGAAACAGGCGCTGCCACGGCCCTGTGGGGAGACGGCGCCTCCCATCCTCTCCTGATGGTCAAGGGGCCAGGGGCAGCTGGGGACGGCCCAGGTGTGGGGCTGGGGGCTGGCTCCCTGCCCCAGCTCCGCCATCGGCACTGTCATTCCCTGGGCACCTGCCAGGCTGGCTTCCACATCCTGCTTCTCATTGCGTCCCTGCAGCGCAGAGCTTTTGCCCATTTTAACGGCAAGCTCAGTGAGATCCGAGAGGACTGACTGAGTGGAAGCTCTGGGGGGTGCATGAGCAGAACCCCCAATGCTTGTGGTTTCTTTTGTCGCCTCTCCCCAGCTGGGTTCCAAACTCCACCCCCCGGATTGTGAACTGCTTGAGAGCAGAGTCCACGCAGGGGCCTCCAGGTGCACAGTAGGTGCTCTGCTTGCTGGACGGCTGAGCAACTGAACGAGCAGATGTGCAAGAGGCTCGCACCCCGCTGGCCAGATGTGCCCGGCGAGCCTTGCTGCAGAGCTGTTTCCGGGTTCCGGGCCAGCTGCATTTCTGGATTGCTGTTCAGGTGTGCTAGCCGCACCTGCCAGGTGCCCTTGGCCTGAACTCTGAGGGGTGAGTCTGAAAGCTCCCAGCCTTTCCTATCAGCACACTGGGACCTTGATAGATGGCAACGGGGGTGGGCGGGCAGGGCTGGGCTTGGTCCTTCCTCTCCTTCCAGCCCCTCCCTGACCATGTCGCTTCCTCCCAGAAGTGGGAAGGGAGTTTCAGGGAACATCAGGCAACCCTGGTCCATGGGGACCCTCCCAGGAGTATTTCTTCTCGCTTCACCTATTCCCCCCCCCCCGCACATATGATCATTCCCATTCACTTCACCTTTCTGAGCCTCAGTTTCTCCAGTTATAAAAATGCAGATAATGCCACCAACTCAAAGGGCTACTGTGAAGCTTAAGTGAGTTCACAGAGGCGAACGTGCCTGGAAAGCTACCCAGAGCTCTCAGGTTGGAAGGCGCGAGGGACCTGTATTTAGGAGGGACTGGGAGCAGCTGCACGCCAGGGGTGCACTACACGGCAGACGGGGTGTTCCGGCAGAAGATGGTGAGTACATGCATGCGGGGGGCAGGGGTTAGTGGCTGAATCGTCACCCATTCTGGAGCCACCCTGCCCGCTGCCTGGACATCTGGTTGTCCCGAGCTGTCTCTCTCAGAGCAGAGCCGAGACCCCCCACCCCCATCCCGGGGCAGGCTCGGTTCATCGTGTAGGAGGACCGGAGTGGGGGTCACGGCATTCCTGACCTCTGCGTATAAACCTCCCCCCCCCGCCCCGGCTGGAGGAGGGAGTCGCTGGAGACCTTAGGCAGAGCCTGGATTCCTGACGGGGGCCCATGCTGCTTCCTCGTTCGCTTAGGGCCTCAGTTTCTCCATCTGTAACGTGCCCTCCCCAGCTGTCTTCCCGAGTTGCCGTGGGCGTGGAGGGAGCTTGGCGCCCACACTCCACTGGGCACCGACGTTCCCGGGTGATAAGACAGGATCTTGCCCCTGGAGTCCTCCCAGGCCGGAGGGGACACAGGTCCTCGGAGAGCACCCCCAGAAATGAGTGAGGGAGTAGCTTGTGTTCTGTGGGAGACATCAACCCAGCCCACGGGGATGTGTCCAAACTTTGCCTCTAGGGTCAGGGAAGAGGTGTCCGAAGACAGCCTTGTCAGATAGAAATATAGTGTGTGACACATCTGTCATTTAAATTTTTTTAGTATTCACATTAAAAAATAAAAACGAATTAAACGTGAGACTATTTTTGTTGGCTGACTGTTGCCTGGTGTGTCACATTGATGTATTGATCAATTCACTGATCCACACGCACATATTCGGCACCTCCTGTGGCCGGTGCCCGGTGCTGGGACAGAACGGTGGCCACGCTGACAGTCCTCGATCACACAGAGCTTCGGCCTGGCGGGAAAGCAGACAATTAAATAGGCGATTACAAGATCCCCTTCCACGCACGGGGATATTTCAGAAACTGCAGGCGCCAAAACTTAAAGACAATTTACAATTTAAAATACTCCCCCCTCGAAAGAGTCCTTTTCAAGCTGACTGTGATTTAGCCCTTTCTCAGTGGCGCAAAAGCCATCGCTATGAACTCAGAGTCATTGAATCTTGGTGTGGAAAAGGCCCGAGAGCTGAGCTGTCCGAGCTATTGCATGTGGACGGTGTAAGGCAGAGGCATCTGCCCTCGTACCAAACCTGCTCTGCGGGAGTCATGTTTCCGTCTCCTCCTTCTCCCTTGGGCTGGCAGCTCCCGCTTCTCTCTGCTCAAGGGCTCCTGCTGCCGCCAGTTTCCAACTGCCAACTAATTTTCTGTCTCTGATCTATTGAGGGCTTCAAAAAAAAAAAAAAAATTACCGCTTGTTAGAATTGTTCGTAAAGTAAGAGTCAGTAGGTTCTAAGTGAGGGACTTCCTCGTGCCCACAGGACGTGAGTTTGGTGTCAGCCGCGGTGGCTGCTCAGAGGTCCCTTCTGCTTCTCCCTGGCTGCTATCCGGGGAGCTGTTCTCAGGTTGGAGGGTCCGTGAGGTGTTGTTGTAAATACGTAAGAGGCTTATTAATGGACAGGCATGCACAGGCTAATTGCTTCCTCCTGTTTACACATAATCAATCA